TCCCTTCACCTTTTAATGACAAGCATGACATAGGAAAGTCATTTTTTTTAATTCACAGATCAATCTGATCTCTTAATAGTGGAACATGTAAATATGTTGAAAACTTTTTCAGGAGATGAATAGAGGTCAAAGGGCAGGATGAATATTTTACTTGTGTTCCAAAACCCTTATCAGAGAGGTTCTCAGGTGTGGAAAATAGATTTCAGTTGACTGATAGTAGATTTAACAAAAAAAGAGAAAGGATTATCTGCCAGGTTTCCAGACTGGATTTTTATATTTCAACTATTAATGTTCTCAGAGTTGATGAAGGACCACCTTGATGTATACATGTATTGTTTTTGTGTTGGTATCAAAATGACCTGTTTTAATCCAGGTAGAACTCAAGATGGCTGTATCTCCAATTGTATGGTGAAATTGACAGTTTACATGACTGTGTGGCATCCTAAAATAGTATCTTTATACAACATCTCTGCTACTAAATTGTTGACTTGAATTTTGAAAGAGTTGGTGTTGCTATGTATATGTGTGTGTGTATATATGTATTTATAAACAAGTGTGTGTGAGTGACAAGTGAACTGCATATCTTTCCCCTTCGCATGTGTATTCCACACATGGCTGGGTCAGTCACAGAACAATTTGCAATAAAACAAAACAAGTTCATTGTCAGCAAAAACAATAATTTTTACATAAATCTGGTGTTACGATGAATAAATAATTTTAAGAATTTTCAATTAGGCTAATTTAAGTAGCATCATAATTTGTATCTCAATTTGGACCAGGATAGAAATTACTGAAATGGTTTGGGACATTGTTTCTGCTTTTACATTTCAATTGAAAACATTGCTATTAATTTCAGCTACCTTAGAAAAATAGGTCTTTTTTTCTGCCATTGTTAGTGGTCTCAGAATCCTGCTGATACCTGTGATGCTGAGTTACTAACCCTTGGAATGATCCAGTTGAAAACATGTCCCTTTTTCTTTCTCTAATCCAGTTTTGAAAGGTTTAATTTTCTTCTGCATCCTGCCTTTTAGGAGCCTAAAGGAAGAGGAGAAATAGGGAGAAATAAATATCTGTTCCGGGGCTGTAGGGTCATGTTCCCATGGGAGAATTAGCCATTTTGGTTCTTTCCACTTTGTGAGGTGGTGTCTCCTTCATTTGTTGGCTTTCTAGAATGTCAAATTAGGTAAGTGGTTAATCTTTCTGTTGGTCCCGTCAGTATCAGTCATGCACTACATCATCTTCTGAGCTTTAGAAATGCACGTAGTCACTTCATCTTTCTTACCTTAGCCCACCCCCACCCCTAATCCCCACCTGTGGCAACACTTGTGCTGCTGTCTGTACAGAGCGGTTATCCGAATCTAGGCAAGTTGAGTGGCCCTTTCCTTGGTCTTTTATAACCGCATATGTTTGTGTTTCTCTACAGTATTGTGTGTGTGCATGTGTGTATAGGTCAATATGCACACATCTTTGATAAAACTAGCTGTTTGACTAGCAGGGTTGAAGTGGCTTTTAAATACTATGTGGGCATTATTAGACATCTTTTGTAAAAAAAAAAAAAATCCAAAACTTAACCATGCCACGCTTGATTAACTTATTTTGAGCATTAAATTTTTTCTATTAGACATGATCACAATTTTACATTACTGACTTAAGATTTGCTTATGTGTCTGAAAAATGTGGTTTCTTGATAGATTTTTTTTTTCCTTTGAAACAAGTGAGTAGAATTGAATAAATATGTCCCAATTGTAAATTTATAAATGTGGCAAGAACATTTTTAAAACAATTTCAATTTTAAATACATAAAACTTTTAGGTTCTTCAGAACTTTCTAAAGCACATTTGAATTTATTTTAGTAAGAATTTAGTTTTTATCAGTACATGTTCAATTCTGGTTTTTTTAATTAAATACAAAGCTTAGGTTTCAGAAAGAGGGAGGGTAAATAGCTGGTGGTCCCAGAGTGTGCTGCTGTTTAACAAAGGGGGAAGTGTATATAAACAGATATAAAAGTTATCATAAATTCCACGAACTTAAATCTGTGATTCATTGCCTTAAAACTTTCTCTCTTAGAATTTCCGTACCGCATGCCAAACAAGTAAAATGGCTTTTAAAAATGTATAGTAGACCAATGTCAGTTTGTATAAAAGTACCAAGTGAAAATATTTATTACATGCATTGGAAAAAATGTTTACCTATTGAATGTTACCTGTTTATGTAGAGCTCTTTAGATGTAATAAAAGAAAAGCCTTCAGTTACTTTGTCTTCTGTAAACTAGTAGTCCTGGGTACACAGGGGCAGTCCCTACAGAAAAGTGCAAGACTTTGTGCTGTCAGAGCCTCTTTCATCCAGATTTCCAAGCTTGACAAGTAACTAATGCTTCTACTTTGACTGGTAATAAACAGCCATCAATTCCCGTATTGAAATAAGGCTAGTTCTGTAATGAACCACCGCCACTGTCTATTTGGTGGTTTTAAATCTGTCTAATATTTGCAGTTTGAGAGCTAAGAGGCCTTTTTTCTCTCTATTCTTTCTTGCAAACAGCCCCAGGTGCTAGGTAAACCAATTGGAATTTCAGGAATGAACCTGAAACCAGGACTGGAAGCTTAAAAGCCTCCTGGGATAGACCTCTTCCAGCCAACTAACACCCATTGTTACACAGTGCATCTGGAAGAGCCCAGGTTCTGCTCTGCCCTGACACTGGCTCTGTTTTTGGCAAAAGTAAACTTGAACTTACTAGGAAAATTAGGGAAAAAAAAAAAAAAGCTGGCTTAATGTCATACTAGATCCAGTTTGATAAACATGTTAAAGACCCTTGAGGGAAAGCTCGGCACTTCTTTGTCCTATATACCTTATCAGGTCTATTATTTGTTGACTCTTTGGTATTCCAGGTTGGCTGGGCAGGCCTGCTTTCCTGATGTCCCTTCCCTGGATGACTAAAATGCTGCTCTCCCTGGGAGGCCAAGGCCTAACTTGCCCCCTCAGGAGAAGGTAATGGCCATTCAGATGTGTTGCCCTCCCTCAGGCCTCATTCCAGAATTCCAGGGCCCCCCACAGCAGCCTAGATGTTCTGCATTTCTGTTTTAAGTCAGGGCCTCACTGTTGCCTAGGTGGGCTGGAACTCTGATCTAACTGCTTCAGCCTTCCAAATGCTAATGTTGGAATTGTGTACCACCATACCTAGCCTGTTTTTGCATCCTTGAAGGCCACAAAACCCTACCACCTACCCCACAAAACCTAATCTGCCCTACACTGTGGCCCCAGGCCCCAGCTGGTGATTAAAACTGCTCACAGTGTACAGCCCGGGGGAGTTCCTACTCAATTCCATTGCAGTTCTATTGCTGGGGAGACGGATGCCACAGAGCAAGTGGGATCCTCCTTTCTGTTTGGCCTGAAGCCACGTTGCATCAATGAGGTAGCTCAACGGAGACTGCCCCCTGCAGTTTTCCCAGTGCCTAGCCCTTATAAAATGTGTGTTGTGTACCTCCTGAAAGATAACATCCCATTATTTGGCTTTCTGCCTCTGCCACGAGGGGACTATTAGACAAAGTTGCAGGTTGATGATACATAAAAGGATGAAAACCTTGGTACTTGGAGCTCTGACCCTGCAGGTGCTGTTCTGACACTCCCTCAGCCTATCAGCTAAGTTGATAGTAATAGTGGTTCATGATTTGATGAGCCTTGGGACACCTGAGTTCCAGGCTTGGCTGCTCGGAGGGATCCCTGAGGGACTGGTCCCCACCAGTGTTCTTGTATTCTGACCATGGCCGGAACCCTCTCTGTTAGTCTCAGGGAAGTGGCTCAAGGTCATGGCTGCTCTGGGCCCATGAGCAGATCATCCTCATTCCTGGAACCCCTCTGCTTGCCAACAGAGCCCAGGGCACTATTTAGAATTCTATGAGAAACATTTTCAGGGCTGATCCCTTAGTGAAAGTGATTGGTCCCATCCTTGAGTACCCACTGTTCAGCTTATATTGTTTATTCTAGTATGTTTTAATGCTACTGTTTGTGAAAGAGTATCCTAAATTATGTGGAGATGGAAATAACAAACATTTTTGTTTTGTTTTAGTCAACCATGGGGCTTTAACTCTGGGCCTGGGTGCTGTCCCTCAGCTCTTCAGCTCAAGGATAGTGTTTTACCACTTGAGCTGCAGTGCCACTGTCAGTTTTCTGGTGGTTTATTGAAGAGTCTCATGGACACTGTCTGGGATGGCTTTGAACTGCAATCCTCAGATATCAGCCTCCTGAGTAGCTAGTATTACAGGCGTGAGCCACTGACGCATGGCTTAACAAACTTGTTTTGGTGCTGGTACTGAGATTTGAACTGACTGAGGGCCTCATGCTATCACTTGGCATTTTTGCTAAAAGCTGGCACTCTGCCTCTTGAGCCATGCCATCCACTTCTGAAAATAAGAACTTGTAACTGGGCCTGTGGTGCTACAAGAAATGTAGTGTGTGGTTTGCTCTTTTTAGTGGCCTTAGAAATGTAGCCAGGTGCTGGTGGCTCACACATTTTTCAGAGCCAGCTGAGGCAGGAAAGGCCTTAAGACTCTTACCTCCAATGAACCACCAGAAAACCAGAAGAGGCGCTGTGGCTCAAAAGTGGTAGAGTCCTAGCCTTGAGCAAAGAGTTCGGGGACGGTGCCCAGGCCCTGAGACATGCCCTGCAACTGATCCCCCCCCCCCCCCAAAAAAAAAGTGGACAGTGATTTTAACACCCAAATGCAGAATGTGCTCTTTCTTCTAGCAGACTGCCCTTAGTAGGAGAAAACTACTATGGGTGACTGGTTCCTTATATTCTATTTCCAGTTGTTGTTCCTCCCCCAACCCCCGACAAAATCTTTGTCTTCCCTCAGTGGATTGTATCAAGGGAGATGAGGAATCCAGCTGTCATGGGGGGTGGCGAGGCTTTGAGGTGAAGTGATCTTCCCAAAACTGGGGGGTGGCAGGGCCAGGACTGGAATGCAAGCCTGACTCCATGTTGCAAAGGGCTAGATCAATGGCAGTTGCTAAAATCGACACAGACTTTATTGAAGACATGCTGGGCCCCTCTCCTGATGGAGAGCTGTTATGTTGCTTCACTTTTGAATCTTTTCCTTATTCAAAAAACAAAAAGCTGCTAAAACCATGACTAAGATCGTTTATTGCTACTGAGGCGATGCCATCTTGCTGCCACCTCCCAAGAGTGAAAACACCTTCTTAAAATGAATCAGTCCTGGTTTTCGGGCCCCTGACGGAGGCTGCAGTGCTCTGCCCAGTCAGTAATCTTGAACAGGAAGGGTGATCTTCTGGATAAATTCATCATACTTCACTTGGCCATCTGGTTCAATACCCGTTTCCTTAAAAAGGTCATCCACTACAATAAATCACATTCATTTGTCAGGTTAGATGTGTTGGTATAAGACACTGAGTTCTCTGGAAGTTGGGATCTCCAGGGGGGTCTTCCCTGAGTGACATCATAGACGTGGGATTCAATCAAATTGACAGAAGGACCGTCTTCCCCCTCATCCCCTACTTGAGCATCACTGGTTCAATGTTGAGGCTTTCTGGAGAGGCTCTGGTAGGGGCAGGGAAGGGTCCAGGGAAGATTCAGTTACTGAATCCTTATTTTAAAAATACCTGTGCCTTGTACTGCATTGAGAGATATGGCCTAGGTGGTTTACCACTTAACCACCCACCCTTCCAGCAACATGAATTTCCTCTGCAGTGTCACCACCAGCCTTGCCAGTCCAGGCTCTGACCTGCCTCTGTCCCCTGCCTTCTCCTCCTCGCTAACCCTGTGTTTACACCAAGAAGATTTTGACAACTATCTGTTACTAACCTACAAATGTGTGGGAGCTGGGGAGACAGCTCAGCAGGAAAGCACCAGCCTGACTTGTGCCCTGGGTGTGATCTGCCATAGTAATAAGGACTTTGTGTGTCCACACCCTGAAGACTGCCATTATTGTGCATTGATCTAATGAAATAACTAGCTTGTCCCTGGAATTTGCTGAAACATTGCAGCTTACCTTTTTCTACAGTGATCTCTCAGGATCAATCTACCTTTGGTGCTTGGGCCCATTTTCACCCTCTTGCAAAACTGATCTTGATACCCTGCCTCCACTTCCCTGGCCCTAGATATACCCACATATCCTTGGACAGGGAGAAAACCTCCTTTGCTTCCCTCTTACCTGTCTGGAGGGGATCATTTCTGTGCTTAGACTGGAAGGTATTCTGAGTGTGTTTGAAGTGACCAACGACATCATTTGTCTTCATGGAGAAGTTCTACCCTGAACTGTAGCAGCCTGTAGGTGGCGGTATCAGCTCCAGGATTAGCGCCAGGCAGGCATCAGCTCCCCATTGCCCCCTGCAGCCCTCTGAGCCTTGGGGCACAGTGGCTGCTCACGGTCTCATTTGCTGTTCCCTAGCTGTTCCAAAGGATGGGTGAGCTTCCCTCTCCAGGAAAACGGCCTCTAACTTCTCCTGTCTCTACGGCCAGTGAGAGGGAATTGGGCCTCTACCAGCTCCCTGGAACTGTTCTTTGCTGTTTTCTGGCTCAACAAGTGAGATGTGTTGGGGACATGTTGTTGGTTTGGACAGAGGTCACAAACCATAGGAATTAAGGCCCTGCTACCTTGGCACTGATCTTGCAGCTATACACCTAAGGGCCACCAGTGTCCATGGAGGCTGAAAGGCGAAGGTGATCTATTCATATAAACACAGACATGGTGTAAGATGAGACCACGTTAGTTAGGCCTGAGAGCTGGGGAAAATGAATCTGCCTGCCCGAGTGCTATTTTTGAACCCTCGGCGCTGTGCCTTTGTGAGAGCAAATGAGACCTGAGCAGACTGGTTTACAGAATGGTGGGTCCCAGAGGTCCCTGGGATGTCTGTGAAGATGTCCTCATTTCCAGTGAGGAAACCTGAGGAATCATGGGTACTCTTCCTGGAGGAGTGCCAGGATTCCTACCTGACTCAAGCCACAACCTCAGAACCCGTGATCTGAGCAAAATGAGGGCTTTTCCCTATCTTCTCCCGAGGTAAGCTGGGAAGTCTGACCAAAAACCCCGACCTGGGGCAGGGCCTCAGCACAGGCTGGGGAGCAGCTGTACTGTCTCCAGGGACAGGAGCTTTCTGGGGGCATTGCAGGCACCCGGCAAGGTCCGGCATGTACTAAGTACGACCCCAGCAGGCTCAGGCCCTCATCTTCCTCTGAGGGGAGAAGGTGTGTGGGCTGATAGGAGGTGCAAAGTGGAGGCTCCATGGGCCAGGACCTCTCCAACTGCCCTGCAGAGGCCCTTCAGAGCTCTTAGAGGCTGCCTTAGTGCAGAGCCCCACAGCCACATCAGAGCCAGCTGTGGTGGAACAGCTGGAGATGGGTCTGCTAAGAGCTGAACCCAGCTTCATCTTGCTAATGGCCTCATCCTACCTCTGTCAGTTGAAGGGACTTTTGTGCTCCTAGGGAGACCTCTGAACTAGCCAAACCCCTGCAATGGGCACTTGGACACAGGAAGGCCAGACACATAATCCACTGCCTGTGCTTGCGGGGTCCCTCTCCCTTGCCCCCTCCCAAACCTTCTAATTCTATCCCCAAGCCCTTATTTGGCCTGATCTCTGCTCACATACTTCTGGGCCATGTATGACCTGCCTGTCTGCACAACTTGGGATAACGATGGGTCTCTGATGTCCTTCTCCAGCTCTCTAACCCTCTCCAGCCAGTGGGAGACAGGGCGTGGCCATTACCTTCCTTGTGGGTAAGCTTCTCCCCTAGGTTCATGAGCTTTGACCGTAGCTCAGACGCCATGATATAGCCTTTCTTCTCCTTGTCAGCCATCAACAGAGCCAGAAGAATCTCTTTCTTTGGGTCCTCTTGTTTTATTTGCGTGTGCATTATGGTCAGGAAAGTGGAGAAGTCCAGCTCTCCATTTCTGTCTGAGAGATGGAGACAGAGCAGTGAGCAAAGGGGAAACGGCTCTTCTTGAAGAAAGTACAGGGAACAATAATAAAATTACGCTTAATCCAACCACTAACAGAAAAAACTGCTCAGCAGCATTTTGGGTGGGTTCTCTCCAGCTTTTCTATCAAGTTGACATCATTTGTAGATCAGCCTTTAAAATCAGAACCAGCTGGGCTCTGGTGGCTCACACCTATAATCCTAGCTACTCAAGAGGCTGAGATCTGAGGATAGTAGTTCGAAGCCAGCCTGGGCATGAAATTCCATGTGACTCTTAGATCCAATTAACCACCAAAGCTTAAAGTGGCTCAAAGTGGTAGAACATTAGCTTTGAGCAAAAGAGCTCAGGCACAGCACCCAAGCCCCAAGTTCAAGCCCCACCACGAACAATAAGTGAATACATAAAAATTAATAAAAACTGAAATCAGACAAACTGGGTTCCAATCCTCTTTCTGCCATTGGCTCTAAAACTCGGCCAGGTTCTGACTTGATCTCTGCTGTAAAGTGGGTCAGGACAGTTCAGCATGGTTTGAGTGAGGTCTCAGGAAAAAAAAAAAAATTCTGGTTGTTGGTTAGCCCTGCTTTCCTACAGGTTTTTCGTAGGCTCAGGACTCTGTGGGTCAGGGGTTATCATGAGGATAAAGCCTCACATCGTACACCTGACCAGGTACTTCCACCACTCAGTGGGGTAAGACCCAGAACCACTGCCCCCCCTCTGGCCACTCCCACCTCAAGCCCCTCCCCACACCCAGCAGCCCTCTTACCTATCCTGTGTGTCTGCAGATGCCGCTGTACCTCCCCTGGCGTCGGACTGGCCCCCAAGCACCTCATGGCCACCAGGAGGTCCGTGGCCTTGATCTTTCCCCTCTGCTGCTTGTCATAGAGGGAGAAGCACTCCTTGTACTCTGCACACGGCCCAGATGGAAGAATACATCTCATTCACTCATTCTCCACCCTGCCATCTCCCCATACTTGGCCCCTGCCCACCTCTTCTCCCCACTTCTTTTATTTACTTGTACATTTGGTTCTGGGGATGAACCTAGAGCCTTATGTTTGTCAGGCAAATGCTCTAAGCTCAACTATGCCCTCCGACTTGGTGTCTCCTCCTCCCTTGGGACCCCACCCTTCCCTTTTCCTGCTGCAGGGTTTCCTGACAGAGTAAATGGAAGTACAAAAGGACCAAGTCAAGCCAGGCACTGGTAGCTCATGCCTGTAATCCTAGCTACTCAGGAACCTGAGATCTGAGGGTTGTAGGTCAAAGCCAGCCTCGGCAGGAAAGTCTGTGAGACTCTTATCTCCAATAAACTATTCAGAAAAAGCCAGAAGTGGCGCTTGGCTCAAGCTGTAGAGCACTAGCTTTGAGCACAGAGAGGCTCAGGGACAGTGCCCAAGCCCTGAGTTCAAGCCCCAGGACCACCCCCACCCCAAAAAAGTGCCGAGTCAAATTGACTATCTCAGAATTAAATCAATAATCAGTAATTCAATATAGGTATGTCCCAAATGTTGCACGGGATACAGTTATACTAAAAAGGGATTATCTGAGATTCAATGTGACTTGGTGTCCTGTGTTTTATCCAGCAATACTGCTCACTCTTTTCCTTCCCCACGCTCTCCCCATCCCACTTCCCCATTTCTGACTAAAATGGAGAAGCTGACTAAAACACCATCCAAAAACTCTCATCCAGGCTCGGCCGAGGGAGAAAGAAACAAGCCCCCCAGCAAAGTGACCATACTGGCAAGGAGGGACCCTTGGTTAACCCTACAGTGTCCTATCTCCCCTCCAGACAGGCCGGGCAGCCAGCAGCTCTCCTATGTGGTGGTTTATTGCCATTATTACAGCTGTGGAGTCCATAGCACAGCTCAGGTCCTCTCAAGCAGAACTCTGACAAGTCCTGGCCCTGTGTTCAAGCTCAGTAGGAAACTACTAGGAAGTTCGCCCCATGTCTACACAAGGGCCACCAGCAGCCCTCCCTGCAGCCTTTCTCCAGGATGCTTGGTGGAGATGAAATAGCAACTCCGAGATCTCTGGCTCAGTCCCACGGCTGCCCAGCCAGCAGAGCTGCCCTCCTGGCTGCCAGCCCCGCCCCCTCCCACCACCCCATCCCCCAGGCAGATGACAGATGACAGCCAGCAGAGAGCTTGGGAAAGACCCCAGCAGTACTGCGACTGCCTCTGCCCTGGCTGAGCCAGTGCTCCAGCCCGTTTGCTCCTCACATGCCAGTGGAGAGCCTCAGAGCCAGGGTAGGGGCTTCCTGGGTAGCCCAGGAAGAGTTCCCAGGTCCTGCTGGGTCCTCACAGCCCCTTGATGGCGCCATTTTTATTCCAGTTGTGCAGACAGGGCTGTGCAGTTGAGCCGCCTGGCACTGGTAGTGGAGCTGTGCCCTCTGCAGCCCTGCCCTTAGTCCTAGGGCAGCAGTGGAGGAAGGGGGGTAGAAGAAAGCCCCTCAACTCCTCTAGCCCAGTCTCGGGCCCTTGGTGTTCACTAATGGAGCCACTCAGGCCTCCCCTGTACACCTGCCACACTAGGACTTGGGGGTGATGACAAAAAGTGGGGCCACCAGTGGGGTTAGTCGTGACTGCCTCTGTACAGTTTGTATACACAGTCTGGGAAGGTGGCTCAGTGGTAGAGTGCTTGCCTTGCATGCATGAGGCCCTGGGTTCGATTCCTCAGCACCACATAAGCAGAAAAAGCCAGAAGAGGCTGTGGCTCAAGTGGTAGAGTGCTAGCCTTGAGCTGAAGAGCTGAGGGACAGCGCCTAGGCCCACGACTGACCAAAAAAATAGTTTGTACACACACACACACACACACACACACACACACACACACACACACACACACACACACCTTCAGAACCCTCTAGAGCCTGAGCTTCCTGAGCACAAACCAAGGACAAGGTTGAATGGCCCTGAGCCTGGTAAAGAAGGTCCAGGGGGTTGGGAATGTGGCTTAGTGGTACAGTGCTTGCCTAGCATGCATGGAGTCCTGGGTTCAGTTCCTCAGTACCACATAAATAGAAAAAGGCAAAAGTGGCACTGTGGCTCAAGTGGTAGAGTGCTAGCCTTGAGCACAGAGAGGCTCAAAGACAGTACCCAGGCCCTGAGTTCAAGCTCCAGGTCCAGCAAAAAAAAGGGAGGGGGGGGCCAGGACTCAGCACAAGATCTCAGCTTTGTGGGGTTTATGTTTTGTTTTGTTTTTTCTTATGCCAGTCCTGGGGTTTGAATTCAGGGCCTGGGTACTGTCCTTAAGCTCTTTTGCCCAAGGTTGGTGCTCTACCATTAGAGCCATAACCCCACTTCCAGCTTTTATTTTTTTGGTGGGGAGAAGGGGATGATTAATTGGAAATAAGAGTCTCACATACTTTTCTGCCCAGGATGGCTTTGAAGCATGATCCTCAGATCTCAGCCTCTTGAGTAGCTAGAGTTACAGGTGTGAGCCACTGGTGCCTGGCTTTCAGCTTTGGTTCTTGCAAAACCTAGTACCTTCTAAGAGGATATCCACAGAGGGCCCAGACTCAGCTGCCACCCTGGGGACTGCTCACAGCCATTGCACTAGTCTTGCCAGCTAGCTTTCCACATGAAAGATGAGCCCCGGGCTCTCCTAAGGCTTCCTCTGGCTGTTGTCCCTGGGGCCCAGGACTGGCTGGCTGGGAACCCACCGTATCGCCCATGGGCACTGTATCAGTGCCTGGGGGGCAGCTTGTAGCCTCTGACACAAGCAAGGCAGGGCTCAAACGGAGCCGGGCTTCTAACAAGCCCGGGATTCTTTGTCTCCTGACCTGACGAATCCCCTCTTCAAACCTGCAGTCAGGGGCAATTTGGGATTCCAGTGCTGCAACAAGAACCCTAGCAAACAGTGCTGGCTCTCACTGCCCTCCTCCTTTCCCTCCGTCCCTTCCCTCCCTCCTTCCCCTCCCCTCCATGATTTTTCCCCTTGTCAGCCATCTAACATGGTCTCCCCCTGCTTTCTTCTTGTCCCTCCTTAGACCAGTCGGTTATGTCTCTAACGTCTGGAACAGGGCTGGCAGGGAAAAAGGGACTCACAAATGCTCTGAGTGAAAGAATGACTTAGGGTTCATGAATTGGATTAAAACCATCTCAAGGGTGTCTGGGAAGGTGGCTTAGCGGTAGAGTGCTTGCCTAGCATACATGCAGCCCTGGGTTTGACTCCTTAGTACCACATACACAGAAGAAGCCAGAAGTTGCGCTGTGGCTCAAGTGGCAGAGCACTAGCTTTGAGCACAGAGAGGCTCAAGGACAGTGCCCAGGCCCTGAGTTCAAGCCCCAGGACTGCTCCACCCCCAAAAACAACCCTTAAGTCCCCCCTTGGGAAAGTCCTCACACAAGAGACCCCTAAGGCTGGGTACCAGTGCTGCACTGGACAAGCTTTATGAGCATCTCTAAGGCACGTGTGCAGGTTTACTGTGCCCTTGACAGCCATAAAGGTAACATGTGACTCACACGAGAGAAAAGATGCCATACTCATTATAAATTCTACCTGGCCAACAAGCAAACCACGTCAAAGATGATTGTGTCAGCTCCTCACCGTTTTGATTCAGACGTGGTTTGAAGAGTGATGTTGTAAATTTGCCCGAAGAACGCAATTGTGTTTTCCAATGAACTGGAAATTATACTATCATTGAATCAGGTAGGTGATGATCTACTTTTAACTCTTTCTCACCCTGGTATAAATTATTCTTTCAGCCGGGCGCAGGTGGCTCACGCCTGTAATCCTAGCTACTCAGGAGGCTGAGATCTGAGGATCGCGGTTCAAAGCCAGCCCGGGCAGGAGAGACCGTGAGACTCCTATCTCCAATAAATCACCAGAAAACCGGAAGTGGCGCTGTAGCTCAAGTGGTAGAGCGCTCGCCTTGAGCTGAAGAGCTGAGGGACAGCGCCCAGGCCCAGAGTTCAAGTCCCACGACCGACAAAAAAAAAAAAAAAAAAAATTATTCTTTCAGCACTAAGACCCCAGGGCTGTCTGAGCTTCCAGTGGATGCTGGGGTATTGTTTGAATCCTACACTATTCAGTTAATGGCTGGCTTTAACTCCTAAAGACGCAGCTCGTACCCGTGTCCAGCACACAAAGTCTGCTTTCCCATCCTTCTCCTACAAAGTCTGGTGAGGGGGCCATTCTCTCTACCCCACACAGACACAGGGGCAAGTCACCACCACCAGACACCCTGTTGTTCCCCATCGCTGTCCACCCTCTAATTGCCTCATATCCAAACTTGGGTGGAGAACCCCAAGTCCTCCTTTTAGTCAGTCACCTCCAGATCAGGGGAAGAGAGGCTCTGTCTGCATTGGTCCCAGTGCGTTCAAGTCCCCTGGCCCACCCCCTCTGGCCTTGGCTTGAGTCTGTGGGGAGTCACAATACCGCACCACCCTGCTAGATGGAACCCAACAAACCCTTGCCTTGGAATCCCAGCTCAGGCCACCCATAGTTCCTTCCAGGGAGCTACCCTGGATTGCAAGGGCACCGTGGGCCCGAGGTGGCTGCCATTTTATCTCCAGTAGCCAGGGAGATGGTGGCCAGATGTCATCCCACAGCGGTGCAGCAGGGAGTGGCCCATCTGGTCCACTGTCAACTGCTGGGCAGGCCAAGGAGCTCAGAAGGCTCTGGACTCAGAGCTCTCTGCCGTCTCTGCCGGGGTGGGGGTCGGGTCTCCTGCCTGAGTAACTCCACCCCTTTCCTGGCTTGTGAAACCACAGCTCTGCTCTGAAGAAAGTGAAACCTCCAAAGTGCTCACCCTCAAACTCAGCGGCCCTTTACTTTGATGGGGAAACTGAGGCCCAGAGAAAAGGATCCAATTCAAAGACAGACTCTCCCTGTTTCCCTTACCTCCAACCATTACATTTACTCATCTGTCTCCTGCCCTAGCCTCTTCCTGTTTAGCTACCGACTCTGGGGCTGCCCTGTGAGCAGTCTTGGCCCAGCCAGAGGGCTGACAACACAAAGTGGGTGGCCGCCCCGTGGATATTCGCTAGGTCAGCACGGGCCTCCAGCAGCATGGTGGGGGAGGGGACACCTCTCACTCACCTCCCTCCTTCCACCAGCGACACGGAGCACATCAGATGGCCTAACTGAGACCCACATTTTGTTGGGAGTTGCTAATTAAAGAGTGAACGCAACCTACCATTAATTTGATCCTGGGAAAGGAACTTGGCCTGCAGCAGAGAGAGAAGAGTCAGGGATGGTGTCACCAGAGGTCTCCCCGCCCGGTGGGCCCTCGCTCACTCACCATGGTGGGGCACCGGCTGCTTCAGAACCAGGAAGGCCCAGCTGCTTCCTCTGGCTGCCAGTGCAAAGTCCTCCGGGTGAGGCCCCAGTAATAAATCCTCGCTGCCATGGAGACGGAGCCCGAAGCCGCCCTGGGTCAGGTTCCAGCTTCTGACTGGGGGGGGGGGGGGGGAACTGGCGGATGCTCAGAAACTGGCGATTCCCAGGGGACTGGACAGGTGGACTTGCGTGGGAATTGGACCACAGCAGAGCCCTTCCAGACTGGGCCCACATCCTTGTCCAGAGCCCCTAGACAGGGGGCCCTGCTCCTGGGGCTAGGCTGGAGCTGGGCACGCACAAACTCACGGCCCATGATCGCACTGATGATGGAGCCCGTCCAGCACAACGCAGCTCAGAACAGGGTTTCAAGTCCTTCCTGTAGGTTTCACCTTGCAGGGCTTCAGTTTCTCTACCAGGCCCCATGCAGAGCTGCTGGGAGAATCAAATCGACTGCAGCCCGTTCTCCTTATGGGGATCTGGGACGGCAAGGCTGGACTTCCAGACCCACAGCTGCTATTGGGGTGAGGCCTCTGGGTGACCCCCCACACCCACCTGACCCAAGGCACCTCACTTTTCTTCCCCGCCCTTCCACATTTGATGCTGAGTCCCATCCCAGGGTAGGCAATTCCGGAGCTGGCCTGGGAGGCCTCAGCCTCCGAAGAGGCTCGCAGTGGAGGCTCTTCTTCTTCCTCCCCACTTCCTGAGAGGCACCTGATCCAGGCTTCGGTCCTCAGCGAGCCATGTGCAGCCCTGGGGGCTCGCCCCAAATCATCCATGGGAAGGGCCAAGGGTAGGTAAAACACATCCTGGGGGCTGCTTGTTCTCTTCTTTTAAAAACATTTATTTTTATGAAGCCATTGTACAAAGGAGTTTCTATTCCAGAAGTCAGGCTAGGAGTGCACTGCATTGTGATCAGTTCACCCGTTCCATCACCCCCCCCCATTTTCCCGATCATGTTCTCTTTAGTCCTGAACCCCAGATGCTGTTGGCTGGGGGCTGACATCTCCACTGCCTTCCTCTGAGTCCCTTCCCTCCTGCATCCCGGTCTGGACCCCAGGGGAGGGGCCTTGGGTAGGAAGATTTCCCACCCCTTTCACCCCCCACCCCAGCCCACTGGACAAGGCCCCCAAGCAGAGCTTTGATGGAAGAGCTCTACGATCCTTCTTCCCTAGAAATGCAGGCAGCCCCTGCTATGTTCCTGGGCACCATCAGGCTAAGCCCCCACAAGTCTGAGCCCTGACAGCCTTCTACTGTGCCCACAGGCCACAGAGGTGGCCTCAGAGGGCCATCTGTTTCTGTTTCCCCATCCTGGACCTGCACACCCCAGCAGAGACCTCAGGCGTGAGTGCAGGGCTGGCTCTCCTGGAGGGGGCTGTAGACCCAGAACTCAGATCGCCTGGAACCTTATGTGGAAGTAGTCAAATAACCTTACATGGAAACAGGGTCCTTGCAACAGAATCAAGAGCTCATACTAGAGCTGGATGGTCCTCACGATGGAGAGGAGTTCAGACACAGCTACAAGAAGCCAAGTGCTGGCCACACAAGCAGAGACGGAGCCCAGGCGCTGAGGGCCTAGGCTCCACCTTGGACTCTGCCAATGCATGCATGCTAGTACTGAGGCTTGAACTGAGACTGGGTGTTGTCCCTTAGCTTTTTTGTTCAAGGGCTGGTGCTTGGCTACCACTTGAGCCACATCTCCACCTCTAGCTTTTTTTTGTCAGTCATGGGGCCTGAACTCTGGGGCTGGGTGCTGTCCCTCAGCTCTTCAGCTCAAGGTTAGGCTCTACCACTTGAGCCACAGAACCACTTCCAGCTTTTCCTGCTTATGTGGTGCTGAAGAATCGAACCCAGGGCCTCATGCATGCAAGGCAAACACTCTACCACTGAGCCACCTTCCCAGCCCCATCTCTAGCTGATTGGTGGTCTCATAGACTCTCCTGCCTGAGTTGGCTTTCTCAGATCTCAGCCTCCTGAGCACAGGGGCAAGCACATGGGTGTTAGGCCTCTGCCAATATTTTGCTCCTGAACTTGGAACCTCTGGAAGAGGAGGAACTTGCATTGTTTCAAGCTACCAACCAAGTGTATAGTAGTTTGTCAAGGCAGCTTTAAGGAATGCATACAAGAACCAAACAAACCCCTGGTCACAGAGACATGGGAATCACACAGATAGCCTGCATGCACACTGGACCTGGAAATAACCAAGGCCAGAGCTCCCAAAATGGAGCTCACAGCCACCCAAGGCTTCATCTCTCTTTGAATTTGTTTTTTTTTTTTTTTTTAATTCCCCTTCAGTAGTAGGGCTTGAACTGGGGGCCTGGGTGCTGTCCCTGAGCTCTTTTGCTCAAGGCTACCACTCTACCGCTTTGAGCCCAGCTCCACTTCCGGTTTTGGAGTAGTTAATTGGAGATATGAGTCTCACAGGGACTTTTCTGCCTGGGGTTGGCTTTGTATCACAATCCTCAGATCTCAACCTCCTGGGCAGCTTAGAGGCCTGAGCCATCACCACCCAGCTGAACCCAGGGTCTTAAGCATGTTAGGAAAGCTCTTTACTACTTAAGCCACACCCCAATGGGGGCATTTTCTCCTGCCACCCCCCCCCCCCCAACACTCCAAGTTTCCTGGATGTCTGCTGGGTTTCTAAGCTAGTGAAGCCAGGCTGCAGTGAAGACAATGGGACAAACTCCCAAGAACCTGCCCCACAGGGCCTAGATCTCCAAGGCCCCAATTGCAATTTCCTCTTCTTAATATTCATTTTCATACCTCATGTTTTACTCACTTTTTTGGGGGCAGGGGTCAGTCGTAGGGCTTGAACTCTGGGCCTGGGCATTGTTCCTCAGCTTTTCAGCTCAAGGCTAGCACTCTACCACTTCAGCCACATCGCCACTTCCAGTTTTCTGGTGGTTAACTGGAGATAGTCTTGTGGACTTTCCTGCCCAGGCTAGCTTTGAACCACGATCCTTAGACCGGTGCCTGGCTTTATTCATATTTTTAAAAACTTTTTTCTTTTTTTGGGTCTGGTCGTGGGGCCTGAACTCTGGGCCTGGGCCCTGTCCCTCAGCTCTTCAGCTCAAGGCTAGTGCTCTACCACTTGAGCCACAGCGCCACTTCTGGCTTTTTCTGCTTATGTGGTGCTGAGGAATCGAACCCAGGGCCTCATGCATGCAAGGCAAGCACTCTACCACTGAGCCACCTTCCTAGCCCCTAAAACTGTTTTTTCTTATCGAGGGTTTTCTAAGATGCATAATCCTCAGACCCTGATGGTAAGGGTCTGTAAACAGCCTTGGGAGCAGCTTGTCCTAGAGGTAGGGGAGGAGCGTGCTGAGCAGACATGGAGACTGATCACCTCCCAGTCTTGTTCTACAGTCCGCTCCAATTAGTCAGCTGACATGTGTAAGGCCAGAGGCTACCTCCTCCCAAGGGGCAGTACAGCTGGGAGGCCATAGGACATCTCTGGATACAGGTTTACTAGTGACCTGTCCTGCCCTGATCCACTAAGACTTGGATTGACTGGGAAGAAAAGTCCCCTTCAGCCCCACCTCCAGGACCCTGCTGAGTGGCATGCAGAGCCATTGAACAGACCAGGATTGAGAGGACCCTTGGGGGTCCCCCCCAAGGTTGTGCTGCTAGAAGGGACCTCACACCCCAGCTGGGATCCAGGCCAGTGAGCTCCCAACCCTCTCTACAATTCCCCCTGCCTCCCCATCTCACAACCAAGCCAGAAAGGACGCCAGCCAGGCTGGGCTCCACATAACACCAGCCTTTATTCACACCTCTCATCACCCGAAGCTGCCTGCCAGCAGAGGGACCCCAGCACAGCAGAGAGACTCAGCCCGGGCCTCCCCGAGATCATGAGGGGAAGGGCTGCAGCCCACAGCACCATGACCAGGGCTGACTGCAACATGAGGCTGGGGTAGCTTTCAAGGAAAACCACTGAACCAGAGGCCTGGGAGAGAAGGGAGCTGGGAGGGGCCCACTCCGCTGAGAGCAGGCCTCCCTTCCTGGTAGCAGGGGCCCTGGCAGAAAGAGATAAAGGCTAAGACAGGCAAGACTGGCAGGAGCCCAGAGCTGTCAGCCCCTATAACGGGGCTCAAGGAATGAGGCAAAGGTTTGAGACCTGTAGGCCGATACTCCACATCTGGCTGGCACCAAGTGGTGCCACAATCCTTCAGAGTTGGGGAGGGACAGTGCAGGGTGAACACCACCAGTAGGATGGCGTAGCATGGGAGAACTGGGCTTCAGGCACCCAGAGGTCTGGTGGCTGAATGCTGGCCAGGTGAGGGCCAGGTATGCTCATGGCCCTTTCAGGCTGGGGAGAGGGTAGAGGCTTGATAGAGCTAAGAGGGTGAGTAACCTCAACCCACTGGGCCCTTGCAGTGCAAATGAGGCCCTGAGAAGTTGTCTTCTCCTCAATAATCCAGAGAAAGATGACATAGTATACAAACATAGTGGCCCAGACCAGGTGGCCAGATGCTGGCCAAGCGGTACACCAGTGGCCCCGTGCTTTTGCACAGTCTGGTCTCTCCTGCATGGCTGAGACTTCCTATAAGAGCCAGCCCAGGCCTGAGCAATAGGAGTGGGGTCAGGAGTCCCAACAACAGGTAAAGGCCAGGATCCTGGCCTGGACACACTTCCCAAACTAAATTCCATCCCGAAAAGATCTAAATCAAGGAGAATCCTGACCCACACTGCTCAGTCTGTCAGTAATGCACTCTGTACACACACAGCCTGCTCCATCCTCATGTCTTACATACTCATGGGCATGGGCGTGCGCGCACGCACACACACACACACACACACACCTGTGTTCAGATGCCCCATGATCTGTCTCTCCCAAGGGAGCAGAGGATGGTTTGGGGACTCAGGGCCGACTGCTGACATGGAGAGTATAGAAGGCCCAGGGTTCGGGGACATAGATGACTCCCGGGTACTTCTTCCTGAGTACAGGGTCATTCCACAGCCAGGCCACCCAGATCGCCACCAGCGAGAGGGTGAAGGTGAAGGAGTAGAGGAGGAAAAAGCCGTTGCTGTCCAGGAAGAGGTGCCTGCGCTTTT